AATCCGGCAAATCATTTTTGGAAAACTAATTTTTATAAAGAAGTGCCAAACATGGACTGCTTTTCCAGATACAGAGTCGCCACCTAAATGTTTTATTTTGGGAAATTTAGGAAACCCTGACTCGTGCCTGAGGCCACGTGTCCGTCATCACCAAAGTTGCCTCGGCTCGGGAACTTGGGTACGAGAGGGGAAGGTCATGCAATGAGCACCCCCGCTCGCCCGATCTAAAGGTCGGCCTTTACTAACATGATATGTTGTTTTTGAAAACACATGCGTTCTTATTCCGATGTATTAGCCTAGAATTACTATGTGATGCGCACAACATACAAGTATAGACTAGATCGCCTAAATTGGAACAAAACATCTCATGTTTGTTTGTTTGAAAATGGTTTAAAGGTGCTACTCGTAAGTAGGCTAAGACGTAGATTTGCCACCCTCGAGTGGGCTTAGAAAACATGATTTTGCCACCTCAAGTGGGCTTAAAACTCGCATTTTGATGAATTGTTCCAATTCAAGCAATCTAACCTCCACACACAAGCATTCATGCAATTAAACACTTAAGCAGTTAGCCTCATGGCAAGCATGCTATCATGGCAACACTCATACTCATGCAAGATGCTAAAGCATAAACACTTACAATGTACTCCAAGCCAAAACAGAGAACTAGTTAGAAATCATGCATGATCCTAGTTCATGTTAAGATGGCTAATGCAACACATGCAAAATGCAACTAGAAATAGGCTCGACTATTCTAAGATGGCTTATGAGATGCAACTTGATAACATGCTGTTGAACACGTATTCAAGTAAATGTATTGAAATACAATGCGGTTTGTATGATGCGCTAAACCCGGTGCATACAAAATAGATGAATGAATGCAAACATGCAAAGCATAAGTATGCTAATTGAAAATGACCCTAAACTAACCATCAAAAGCAGGCAAGTAAAAGGGAGAAAGAAATAGGGGTTGGAAGACATGCATCACACACACACACGCTTATTACAAAACTCACCCTCTCGACGGAGGGTCCGAATGAATACACTAAGCTAGCTATGCTAAGCTAAGCAACTAATCTAATTATCTAATTAGACTAATTATTACATAATCAAATTAAATAACTAACTAACACTAAGCTAATTATTACAACACGTTAACTAATTAACAAGTTAACTAGTTTAATTACAAATTCAAAAGTTAGCTAACAAGTAAAGCTAATTACGAATTACAAAGCCTCAGCTCAGTTCAAAGAGTTCGAAGATGCATGCTTGATCGCCTCGCTCAGAAATACGTTGCCATGCCTCATGTTGCCTCTGTTTGCACACTTCTGCACCTTTGAAAATTGTGCCAATCTCCAAAACACTTCTGATCCACCTCATGGACATGCTGAGAGGTCATCGGCCAAGAGGTATGGCCATCGGCCAAAGGATAAAGGTCATCGACCAATTTTGAGGCTATCGGCCAATTATTGATAGCCGATCGGCACACTAGATAGCCGATCGGCCATCTCTTCCTGCAAACTCTCCTTTTTGCTACAACAGAGCACAAACAGAGGCATGACAATGTATTTGCAAGAACAGCTGATATTTGTAAGCTGAACACGTTGTTCTCAAACACTGATCACTGTTCCCAAATCATTGCCCCGAATTTGATACCCTCAGGTAAAACTGATTCCCCGAATACTGATACTGATGCCTTCAGGCCTGATACCCAGACTTGCAAACTGATACGTGCATTCCTACAGAGACACACTCTAAAAGCACATAACAGTTAAGTGAGAGCCAAAGCAACCCTATGATGGGGTAGGGTTACCCTGTCCTAGTTTTGTCAGGAACTAGGGTTAGCTATTCAAACAAAGTGGTTTCACCACAATCCTATATTCGGGTAAGCAACCTGTCCTAGTTTGGAATAGCCTCTATGGTTTCCAATATGCAATTAGGTCGATTGGTCAAAAAAGGGTACCTCAGCAAGACTACCTAATATACCTCTCACGC